ATCATTTTCACTGATTTTATGGGATTTGCGGTCATAGCCAACAGATTGAAGTCCAGAAAACAAAAAAAGAGGTAGAGATGGTTGATTTTTAGGCTTCAGATGGAAAGTTTTAAACTGAAAAGAAGTAGTTTTTGGAATGAGCGGGAAAATGAAAACCCTATGCACATAATAATGCCACTTGGCAAAATAAGGTGTAGAAAGCATGACATGTGGCTCCTTAGAGAGTCTTTTATTAGGAAGAGAAAAGAGATTTATTGTAATTATTACATTAAAATATTATGTTGAATTTAATAAAATATAAAAACTTACAAAATGACATTTGGCAAATTGAATGAGAGTGTGACATATGACAAAAAAATCTTTCATTTATATATATATATATATATATATATATATATATATATATACACACACACACACTACAAAATATATGTCATTTAGTGACATACAAAAAGTGCCACTAAAAACCTAAAAAGTGCCACTAAAAGCTTCTCATGGAATCAGCGTCACAAATAATAAATGCCACTAGAAACGCTTCCACCAAAACTCTTTAGTGACACCTTTTGCTTTTGTCGCTGCAATTTTTAGGCTTTTAGTGACACTTTTGTATTTGCCACAATAAAAGAAAAGTTTTTTGTGGTACATATTTTGTGCCACTGAATCCTTATTTGATTAAAAAATTCATGTTAGTTTTGGTTACATATTTTCAAATTTTAGTGGCAGTTTTTTATCTGCAACAATACAAAACATTATTTTGTGCAAATACACATTAGATTCTATAATTTAAACTACTTATATTTACATAATTTTTATCTATAATCTAAAATAAATTAAATAATTAGACTGCAACACATGCAATATAATAAATATTCCATTCCATAAGACAGAAACAAACTACAATTTCTTTTCATTCCAATGTAATAAACCATTTCATTCATTCCATGATTTCATCATAACAAAATGCTCGATATTTAATAATCATCTGTTTGACTTTGACTAAACCATAGTGGTCACTATCAAGCCCATATTTTGTAGCTTTTAAGTCCTATTCAACTTCAACTTCTTCATTTGTTGTCTACCATTGAGTACCTATAAATCCATCTCATGTAAGTAAGAACAAAAAGGTGTTTATTTGGATTGGAAACTACAGGAACTACATTAGTAAAAGTTGAGAATCATATAGTATAATTAGAGCAACTTACATTGTGATAGGTCAAGTGATTTTGATGACCTCCAAGTTCATCATCTCTCCTATGAATGTCACTCTCGAGCATTGTCTTTATAATAGACTGGAAAAAAGAAAACAAATCTAATGAGATAAAGTTATGATAATATAACATAAATGAATCGGACAAAAAGATTATATGAAATAAGGAAAAGATGTAAACTTTACCTTGAAAACAATTGGTTCATTTATTTCCATTCCATATGTTATCAACACCATTACAATGACTTAATTAGCTAATGGGTTATGACACTATCTCGTTAAAAAAATTATTCCATTTTTACCCTTGTAAGTTATGTAAGATTTAAACTTCATTTCTTATGACCAGATAATATAATAAGGGTATCTAAATAAATGTATTATTCGATCACTGTAACTTAGTTATTCAAGGTTTTCACACACTGGCTTATCGATGAAAACATTGTATTGTAAAGATTTATTCTATTTTTATTGGTTTACCCTTGTATGTTATGCAATATTTACACGTCCTTCATGTGTTAAGAAAGATAGATTAGTGGACTCTAAGGTGGTGTTTGGTATTCTGGAATTAGAGAAAGAATGCAATTATTCATTACATAGAAATATAGGCTTTAGGTGTGCAGGTTTATTGTGACTTGAATTCACAAGAGTCGGATTTTTAGAGTGTTGGGTAAAAATTGAATACAAATATGATTTTCTGATTATTTAAGGTTAAAAACTCAAAATAATCAGATTTGAATAGTTGCAAAAAAACTAATTATTAAATAAATGTAAAAATACCTAACACTCACATTAAATACCTGAACAAAATTACAAGTATCTTTTTTTTTTGAACAAAATATCTTATTGCCTCATAAATAAAGATCCAAACACTTGTTTAATAGCAATAAAGATACATAATCAAAAATGGGATTAATTACCTGAAGGAGACATACACTTGTATGCAAAAAGTGTATGATAACATATGTATTTTTATAAAAGGGAAGACCATTGAGCTCAAAGATGTTTAACAGATCAAAAAACTGCATTCACAAAAGAAATTTTTACAGAATAATCAAGTTCTTGACATCAAGAAAAGAGAAAAAGTTCAAACTAACATAAGCCAATAATTACTTTATTTATCATTTTAATTGTATAATCATTAGGTACCTGAGATAGGACTTTTGCACACTCTGCCATGGTTGACAATTCTCTTTTCTGATATGCAGTATCAAATCTAGATAACAATTGTTCTCCAATTCTGTACAAACATTCACCATGATCAAATTCAAGATAGACTTATACATGGTGGAAAAGTGAATTATAATGCATATACCATTGAAGTACACTTGAAGGTTACCAACAACAACCTCCAGTCCTCTACTAACAGATTACATAGTCATACCCTCTCTTCCAATATCTTCATCTGCAAATAAACTTGAAATTAACAAATAAAGTTTAAAAAGAAGTGTTGTATAGAAAAAGATTGTTTCTTTTTTAGACTGAATGAACCGTTTGAATATGAAAAAAATGACCATTATACCCTTATGTATATAAAAAGATTGTTTCTTTTTTGGACTGAATGAACCATGTATGAGCTGTCCGACTTAGGGGCTTCTTCCACTCCCATGTTGTTTCATTATTGCCTTTGGCTTTAGATGAAACAGCATTTGAGCTGCATAACAAAAGCATCGCTTCTATCTGTCAAAACAAAATATAAAGGAAATAAATATTTCAGCACTAACATAGTCAAAGTCATATGATCTTCTTTAAATTTTAAATCACACCTCTTTCAATTGTTCTAGGGATAAAATAACAGACATGTTGCTTTTCACATTAGTTAGCACCCAGTAAAAAAGATAAAAAAAAAATATGATATGAAAATCATGTCATATAGCAATAGGGCATCATGACATTTAGATTTTGAATGGAATGATAAAGAACTTGATATTGGGTGTCTACTCTATTCCTTATATGTTTGCTCATGAATCTAAACACCTGCAATCAACTACTTCTTAGCCTCTAGAAGAATAATATGAGAATATCAAGTGTTTTGAAACAAAATGCAATTTCCAACTAATTAAATAGTAATTGATGATATCTTACTGAATTAACAAGCTGAATAGCATATAAATTCGGTTGATCCAAATCATCTTTGTTGGATATGGAATTTTCCAAAAGCAGTTTTGACAAGTTGTCCAGAAAGTCTTCGAGTCTGGAACACACTCCACTGAATGATCTACAAGCAAAGCATTAATTTTAATCAATCAGCTGAACTTCAACCAAACTTTCAAGAAATTTTAGTGCTTAATTTAGTTGTTTAGTTTGATTCATTATCAAGTAGTCATAGATTTAGTTCTTTGCATCATATATAGTTATACTCTCCAATTCAATATGAATTATATTAATCCACTTCTCAACATTATGTTTTTGTTCTGCTCTTTGTTTACCAACATTGACAACCTCCATATTATGTCTTTAAATTGTGTGTACAATTGCACATTTTTTTTGACAAAATTCTATACATATATAATATTTCAAACAACTCTAAGTCTTAAGGATATGGACTAGTCGTACCTACCAATTAAGACAATGATTTAAATAGGAATAGAAGTTATACCTTTTAACAGGTGTTCCCTTAGGTTCTATTTCAGTCATCTCTTATAGTCGGAAAAACATGTACATGCAACTAAAGCTCAAATTGGAAGCCGTCAGCCTCAACGTGATCTTCTCTTCTTTGCAGAACAACATCTCACGGTTATTCCATTCAATATCATGGAGCTACAGATCTCATTTTGATGTAATGATATTAGAGAGAATAAACAAAACAAAACCAGAAGACTCAACAGGATGCATCACATAAAACATAAGGATGTCATCACCGTTTCATCTACCCTGTAATCAACATGAAATGAGATAACACCTATGTTGATATTGCTACTAGAAATCGACATAAAGAACCAACAACAACAATTAAGAGATCATATAAAATGCTTTCGACCTCTCCATACTGTCACACCCCCAAACCAGAATGGCGGAAACATTTGAGGATGGAGGACTTCATGTAGTATCACAACAATGCACAATAGTAATCAAAGTACAACAACAACCATTGTATTTACAAAGTTATAAGTTTTACAATTGTGTTCAAAATATAATGTATATGAGCTCAAAAGTACAAGTTTAAAAGACACGAGTTTATAAATCTCCATCTTCACAAAAGCTGTGGTTGTACCTGTATCACTGTTTCCCTGAGAATACAAGTAGTTTTTGAAAAGGTGTCAATAATTAAGTTGGTGAGTTCATAAGGATGTTTGTAACTGAAATCTGTTTTCTGGTTCACTGATAAAGTAAACATGTTTTTCCCAGAAAATCCTATATTTTCTGTTGGACTAATATCACTAAAGTCGTATGTTTTTTGCACTAAATTGGAAAAAGCCCTGAATTTAATTTTTCATTTACTGTGACCACGATATTTTCATTGACTTATCGTTTGTGGGCAAAGATCCGGTCACCAGCAGGTAACCTGTACCATCCGGTCACCACTAAGCTATTCCCTAACCATCACCTTTCACGAACCATCACTGCTAAAGGGTTTTTCATGCATTCGAGAAGGTTTTGACACTGAGAAGAGTTTCACAGTCCCCAATTTTGCAACTTGAAGCTCCGAAATCGTTGGTGAAGTAAGGTTGGAGTAGAAAGGTACGTGTATGGAAACACGAAATTGATGATTGTGAGGGTGGTTATCTTTGTCTATGGAGTATGGAGTTCCAAGTTTGAACTAACAAGTTGTTTTTTTGTTTTTTTTATGAAACAGATGGCTTCTACTTCTGGAACTATGAAGCCTAAAGGGCCTAAGCTCCCTGAGAAGACATACCTTCCAGACTCTTACTCTGATGATGATGCATTTGACTTTAGCTTCTTGGATTTTTCTGAAGAAACTTTGAAAGCCCCCTCAAGACTATGTGATGATCAGTTTCTTAACTTATTGTGTGACGAAAACATATTAAGGAGGAGTATTGATGGAATGGTAGATGATGGAGACATTCCTGGTGTCCAACAAAAAGAGCATTCCCACTTAGATGATGACAATGAAGATGTTGGTGTGGAGTATAGGGTGCATGATCCCAATGTTGACTGGAAAGAGATGAGGCCCCAATTAGGAGACTGTTATGAATCCCCTGCTCAACTAAGGTTTGCTTTAACTAACTATGCAGTCCATGGAGGGTACCAACTTTATTTTGAAAAAAGTGATAGAGTGAGGGTTATAGCTAAGTGTGGTAGTGGAACCAGGGACATCAATGATAATAACAAAATGCAGTGTCCATTTAGGGTTGCAGCTGGATGGAAGTACAATGAAAGAACATTCCAGATAAAATTTTGTAATGACATGCATCTGTGTACTAGGAATTATCATTTTGGTTCCTGAGTTACTAGCAATTGGTTAGCCAAACACTACCTGAAAGATGTAATCATGAAGCCCAAGATGACATTGCTAGAGATGCAAGCAGATGTGCTACAAAGGTTTTCAGTGAGTGTATCTCTTGGGCAATGCCAAAGAGCAAGGGCTACTGCAATGGGGATGATATAAGGGAAGTTAGAAGACCACTATGCCAAGGTTTGGGACTATGCAGCTGCAATTAGGTTGAGTAATCTGGGTACAACTTGCTTGGTGGGGGTAGAAAGTAATCTGGGGTGTAACTATTTCAAAAGGTTTTATGTTGGCTTCAAGGCTTTCAGAGATGGATGGAGCAGAGGATGTAGAAGGGTAATAGGACTAGATGGCAGTGTCTTGAAGGGGCAGGTTAAGGGGGAGATTTTAACTGCTATTGGGAGGGATGTAGACAACCATGTCTACCCAATAGCATGGGCAGTTGTGAATGTTGAGAATAAGGACAACTAGACCTGGTTCATTGATAATTTGGTTGCTGATTTGGATCTTGGTGCTGGCAATGGATTGGTTGTTATCTCAGACCAACTCAAGGTACCACAACATACACTAGTATACAATATATATTTGTATGTTACAGTCATTAATATTTACATGTGTTGTGTTGTGTTTGTTTGTTAATTATAGGGACTTTTACAGGATGTGGCAGACCTACTCCCTCATGTTGAGCACAGACAATGTGCTAGACACATCTTTGGAAACTTTAGAAAGAAATACACAGGATTAGATCTAAAGAATTTGTTCTGGGAAGCTGCTATGAGTACAGTGAAAGGGGACTTTCTTGCTACAATGGAGAAGATAAAGAAGATAAAAGAAACATGATACACCTATCTTATGGCAAGGAAACCTGAAACTTGGTGCAGAGCATTCTTTTCTCATGGGTATTCTTGTGAAGCAGTAGAGAATGGGGTTGCAGAATGCTTCAATGGCATGATCAAAGAAATAAGGAAGAAGCCTATAATCACAATGCTTGAGGAAATAAGGATTCTCCTTATGAAAAGGTTTTTTCATCAAGGTCAAGAGGTAGCCAAATGGAGGGGTAATTATGGGCCTAACATACAACTGAAGCTTAATGAATTTGGGAAAGATATGAGGTAATATAAGTTTTTATTGGCATGTATCCAAAAATATTAAGTATTTATATGTGTACTTTGTTTGTTTTGTGTGTAGGTTGTGGACAGTGGTGACAAGTGGTGGTGATGTGTTTGAGACTAGGTATGGCTACAATGGATACAAGGTTGATTTATCCAATCACACTTGCACCTGCAACTTGTGGATGTTGTCGGGAATACCATGTGTGCATAGTCAAGCTGCAATCAACTATGTCCACAAAGATCCAAGTCAATTCCTTTCTTCTTGGTTCCACAAGGACAAATATGTTGCAACCTACAGTCAGAACATACAACCTGTAGGTGGAAGCAACTTGTGGCCAATGACTGAGTTTATTAAACCATTATGACCCCCAGTTAGAAGGATGCCTGGAAGACCCAAAGTAAATAGAGTGAAGCATGCATCTGAATCACAAGATGCCAAATACTCCTCACAGAGGTTAAAGGTTATAGGACTGTGAGTTGTGGAAAGTGCCAACAACTTCGGCATAATAAGATTTCATGCACAAATGATGAGGTACCTAAGCCCCCTGTCCCAAAAAAGAAGATTGAAGACCTAGGAAAGATGGGGGAGGCCAACCTATCTTTGACCAATTCCCTCCATTTGATCCTGCTATACCAAGAAGTGATGTTGCTCCTCCCCCAGTTTCAGAATGTGGTGATCAAGTTGGCGGGCCTGATATACCAAGAAGTGATGTTACTCCTCCCCCAGTTTCAGAATCTGGTAATCAAGTAGGTGGTCCTAATGTTAGTCCTCTGAAAAGGACTAAGATGATGACAAGGAGAGGAGGGAAAACTAAAGTGTCTGGATCAAGGAACAAAACACCAAAGAAAACACCTAATGGTAACAAACATAAGAGTAAAGCAAAGGAGGATGTGTCCCTAACCTGTGATGAGGATTTTGTTGATCTTTTTACACATGCACCTACTGGTAAGCAAGGTATGAGTCAAGCAAAAGAGGATGTTCAGGAACAAGAACATGATGACAATGAGGTGAAGGTGAGTGAAAGACTTACTTTACAGGAGTTGCTGATGTCTGGATATACACATGCTGATGCAGTGCTGCTATGAAAGAGGTATGTTCTGGTAATTACTATTTTTGGCTTTCATATTGTAGATTTACTAACTATCCCTCCATATTGTAGGTTTATGGAGAGGTTGAGGAACAACAGATTGAAGAAAAAGAGGCTGAGGAAGGAGTTGAAGAGGTTGAAGAAAAAGAGGCTGAGGAAGAAGAAGTTGAAGAGAGAGAGGTTGAGGAACAACTGATTGAAGAAGGAGAGGTTGATGAAGGAGTTGAAGAGAGAAAGGTTGAAGAAGAAGAAGTTGAAGGCATACAGGTTGAGGAAGAAGAAGTTGAAGGCAGAGTGGTTTAGGAAGAAGGAGTTGAAGAGAGAGAGAGGTTGGAGCAAGAGTCCTACCCTCCAGAAGAAGTTATGGTGCTTACAATTTCCATTGGGAGAAAAAGAGGAAACCCTCTGAAAGAATTAGGAAAGTGAAGCTCAGGAAAATGGTTGAAGATGCTGATGGTGGTGGTTCCTCCAAAACCCCTTGGGTTTTAGAGTAAGGAGTTGTATTTAATGGTTCAATGGGTAGAGTGGGCATTGATCGAGGTCGTTGTCTCAATCAAAAATAACCTCAAAAACCACTAGATAGCTAGGGTAAGTAAGGGTCGAATACACGAGGAGTTTGTGGTCAAACTTTGTGTTAAAATAGTCAACGAAAAACTACTACTAGCAATTATCACGAAATTATTTGAACTAAAAGTTGATGAAAAAGCTAAAAACTTGGTAATGCAAGAACTACTAAAACAAACTACTATCAATGAGAAAAAAACAAGATACTTCCGGTTCAATTGTTCATATGGTTGGACTTACACGTTTTTCTTCCCTTAAATTCCAATTTAATTACCTAGACATAATTAAGGTTGATTAACTTGCAACAAATAATTTTGAGCACACAATATGTTATTTCAACTAGTTGTCTTACTCCCTATGTCTAATTGGATTAGGAACAACTAGTGGTTTGGTGATAATGTGTCTTACGATTACCTATTACAATGTTGAGTATATAATACTACAAATTCGGAATAATGTATGTGGGTTCAACTGATCATCTTAGCTCCTAAACTACTTGAATTCAGAATGATTAGTGAATTAACAATACATTATCTTAGTTGCAATATCACACAATAAGAAAACCCAACTCCAATTACTGTAAGTAAAAATCATAACTTTAAGAATGAAACAATAACTGAAATTGACTAGAATAAAAGTAATAATCAAAACGTGTTCATCCTAACATCCTACAACGTTCCCGGAAGTAACCTAGGTGGTTTAGCCTTCGATATGATTAACAAAACACACAACTTCAATATAAACAATGGAATTAATATTAAAATTCACAAACCAACTTGAAATCATAAAATCAATGAAGTCTAATGATCAATCAACTATGGAACGATGAAACCTTGGGGGTGAAATAATCAAATTTGGAGCTTGATTGAATTGATGTAGATCCGTCGGTTGAACGATCTTTAAACGTTGAATGATAATGAATTTGGTGATTTTTCGTCTTGGATTTGGAAATTAATTATCAAAAAACGTGTTTGGAGAAGCTTTGAATGTGTTTGGAACCCTCCAAAACTGTGGAAAATCGCAGGGAAGAAGTCCAAAGTCGATTAGGGTTTAATCTCCCTTAAATAGGTGCTGAAAAGCTGATTTTCGGATCTGTTTTCCGCGTCGGCGTCCTAGTAGGCGTCTTAGACGTTCTGTAGGACGTCTGGGCGTCCTTCGTTACGTTTTACATGTCTTCTGTCGTCCTTGATTTGCACTTGAAAATGGCCTAAAACGGCTAGGCGTCCTAGGGGGCGTCTTAGACGCGTTCTAGGACGTCCTTCATCTTTGGTGCCCCTTTTTGTTGATGAAAAAGATAGAATCAGTAAAAACGCAAAACATTAAAGTTGTAGCAAATTTTTTCTAGTTTCCAGAACTTCTTCATTCATGTCAATCGGAGCTCTAGATCTTGAGATATGATCAAAACATTGAAGAGTGGTCAAATTTCTCAGCACCATTTTTCATTCTTTTACCAATTCGTCTCCCATACTTGTTAGCTTCCTTTTTCTCGTTTTTCTTGCGGGTTCCGCCTACTTTAGCACTAAGTAGTTGCCTGCACATAATTTGTAACATTTCATCAAAGTAGTGCCATTCTTGGACAATTATATATCAATTCAACAGATTTATGACAATTTAGTACATTCATAAAATAGACTTATCAAACCTCCCCAACTTTATTCCAAACTCGTCCCGAGATTGGCCTGAAATAATAAGAGTAGGGTTACTCCCTAATCCTAAGAAAAACTCAATGGAATCACAAATTGAGTACATTTCATCAAAACATATTCAATAAGCACGATATATCGATTTTGGGGATTATTAATTGTTTATCCGGACTTTTAAACTCAAAATACATGTTATGGTTATTTTACTTTGTTGTTTGAAACCCTCCACTTTTTGAACCCGTTCCAATAATCAACCTCATGAGTAATCAGTTGAACTTATTGTCAAAGTCCCCTTTTCAAGGTTCACTAACATAGTTAGCGCGGTCGGTAACACTTAATGGACCAACCCATAAACTCCCGCTATCGAGGGGTCACATATTGTTTCACACAATGTCTTCAACTTGAACTTGTCTTCATATTAATCTTGATTGTGCATTCTTCAAGTTCTTTGATAACTTCATTTGATTTGATCATCTTTGTATTTGACTTGAGCTTGAATATATATACTTGGAAGTTCTTCAATGTCTTATGATGCTTTTTGGTTGTGTGAAAACAATAATAGTCCCCTCCCAACCCTAAAGGCGCAGGAGTAAGTAAGACCAAGTACTCAGAGCGTGATGACATATATTGTTCGGTTGGGCCCTCAATTAAAAGATCGTAGGCTCGAGCCAAAAACCTTCATTTTTCAAACACTTGGGTATTTCACATAACAATTTCTAAATAAATATAAATATTTCTAAACCGGCTGAGCAACCCACAAAATCAAAATTAAATAGATATTATGACTCGATGTACGAAACTCCAATCATTTTCCATTTTGATGAGTTACATTCAAGATATAGAGATGCTACTAACTCATCACATATTTCATGGTGACCAACTTCAGGATAAGATAATTAACGATAGAGTTTAAGATAGCAGTACATTCATCCTAAGTTGATTATCCAAAAAAAAAAAAATTCATCAAAGTTAATGTAAAAGAAATTAATAACATGGAGGACGACACACCTGATCGTACCGGTGGTAGAGGCGGTTTTGATTCTTGAAAAACTTCACTAACTTGAGGCATTTTCATAATGTCTCGTTATGCCCGAACAAACATCGAATAATTATGATTTTTTTTAAAAAAAAAATCACTTTTTCTTCAATCTTCCATCTTTTTCTTGTGTACACCCCTTCCCCAACTTTCAGTCTTGCATCGTCCTCGATGCATCCAAAGACAAATTCCTATAATAATAACAAAAAAAAAAAAACTACAAGCACACAAATCAAATCAAATAAAAATAATTCACACTAAGTAGCCCTTAATTTCGTAGGGGTCCACAATTGCACTTGGCACGTGCAACAAGCCTTTTAAACCCCTAGGTTACCCCTAGTGGACGAGTGAAGTCTCGTGAGGGTTTGCAGTAAACACACCCACAAAGTTCCAAAATTGCCAAGTTTAACGTCATTAGCGGGGCAGGTTACCTCAACCGATGTCTATGGAGGATCATATGTTAGTTGACTTCCTTGAAAGCCAACCATGAGGTCGCTCACCTTACTTTGAGGAACCGGATCATGTGGCAAGCCTTTTTTGGCCTTGTGTAAATCAACTATTTTGCGTTTAATCCTTCCATGATGATGCTTAAACCTTGTTTTGAAGAGCCATGCATCTTTCCATCTAGTAAACTTCTTTAGTCGATACTTGATATCATGTAACACTTTCATTTTTGATTTGTGGGCACGTATTGCATCATGTTTTTGTTCCACAACTTTCTTTCCATGTGTTGAATCCCACTATTATCCAATGATTTTGACCTGTTACATGAGAAAATTTTCTCCAAATCGAGTGTGGTGTCGGAGAGCATATTTGCGGTATGCTCATAGACATAATCATGAATAGTATTGATTACACACAAGTCACCACTGATTGGAGAATCATTAGTAGGTCCAAACACACGACATCTCACCTTATGGTTTCCAAATATCCTATCAATCGCACCTTCCTGACAACCAATCTGAGCATATATGGTTGCCAAGAAGGGACGATCAATGATTAAATTTGTTTGTTTGTATTTGGAATTTATTTTAGAATCCGTTAGAACAAAAAGTTGTGTTTCAGGTTTTTTCAAAATTATTAGGTAAGGGGTGGTATTAACCTCCACGGACCCCTCCCCAACTTTGGTCACTTCTGACACATGAAACTCTTCATTATATTTTTCCTTTTCGATTACAACTTCTTTTATTTCAATTATCCTTTCAGTATTATTCGCATATAAAGGCACATAATCCTCCACCACAACCTCAAGTTCGGGTAGTGTAGGAGTATGCACTTTGTTATCAAACCATTTATCACTACCAAAAATTGTTACCTCATTATCTTGTGTAGTGTCTGAAAGATTGCCTGGTGGTTGTTGATTTAGCTTCTCTCTTATTTGTTCAATTTGTCTTTCAAGCGTAGAAATTGATTTGGAGTTTTCTTCCTCCTTGTAGAAGGTTTCATTCAACATGTCCAACATTTGATCCAACTTCTTGCTGAATGAAGATTTGTCTGATTCTTGGTTGTCTAGGAAACAAGGTGATCCATGGTGTTGGATTTGAACCGAATCGTCATTCCACCAACAATCATCATCATATCGATCATCATTATATGAATCATTGTATGGATCATAATAATATTGATATGGACTTGGATTTTCTCTCTCCCACCACATATCTTGATTCATGTAAGTGTATTCCTCCATTCACGACCGTCCCTACACAAAAATAGTAAAATAGTGAAGATTCTGAACTAAAAATAAAACAAATAAAATAAAATTTAATGACTACTTCAACACAATAGTTTAAGCGCACAATCTCCCCGGCAACGGCGCCAAATTTTGATCGAGGTCGTTGTCTCAATCAAAAATAACCTCAAAAACCACTAGATAGCTAGGGTAAGTAAGGGTCGAATCCACGAGGAGTTTGTGGTCAAACTTTGTGTTAAAATAGTCAACGAAAAACTACTACTAGCAATTGTCACGAAATTATTTGAACTAAAAGTTGATGAAAAAGCTAAAAACTTGGTAATGCAAGAACTACTAAAACAAACTACTATCAATGAGAAAAAAAACAAGATACTTCCGGTTCAATTGTTCAGATGGTTGGACTTACACGTTTTTCTTCCCTTAAATTCCAATTTAATTACCTAGACATAATTAAGGTTGATTAACTTGCAACAAATAATTTTGAGCACACAATATGTTATTTCAACTAGTTGTCTTACTCCCTATGTCTAATTGGATTAAGAACAACTAGTGGTTTGGCGATAATGTGTCTTACGATTACCTATTACAATGTTGAGTATATAATACTACAAATTCGGAATAATGTATGTGGGTTCAACTGATCATCTTAGCTCCTAAACTACTTGAATTCAGAATGAGTAGTGAATTAACAATACACTATCTTAGTTGCAATATCACACAATAAGAAAACCCAACTCCAATTACTTTAAGTAAAAATCATAACTTTAAGAATGAAACAATAACTGAAATTGACTAGAATAAAAGTAATAATCAAAATGTGTTCATCCTAACATCCTACAACGTTCCTGGAAGTAACCTAGGTGGTTTAGCCTTCGATATGATTAACAAAACACACAACTTCAATATAAACAATGGAATTAATATTAAAATTCACAAACCAACTTGAAATCATAAAATCAATGAAGTCTAATGATCAATCAACTATGGAACGATGAAACCTTGGGGGTGAAATAATCAAATTTGGAGCTTGATTGAATTGATGTAGATCCGTCGGTTGAACGATCTTTAAACGTTGAATGATAATGAATTTGGTGATTTTTCGTCTTGGATTTGGAAATTAATTATCAAAAACGTGTTTGGAGAAGCTTTGAATGTGTTTGGAACCCTCCAAAACTGTGGAAAATCGCAGGGAAGAAGTCCAAAGTCGATTAGGGTTTAATCTCCCTTAAATAGGTGCTGAAAAGCTGATTTTCGGATCTGTTTTCCGCGTCGGCGTCCTAGTAGGCGTCTTAGACGTTCTGTAGGACGTCTGGGCGTCCTTCGTTACGTTTTACATGTCTTCTGTCGTCCTTGATTTGCACTTGAAAATGGCCTAAAACGGCTAGGCGTCCTAGGGGGCGTCTTAGACGCGTTCTAGGACGTCCTTCATCTTTGGTGCCCCTTTTTGGTGATGAAAACGATAGAATCAGTAAAAACGCAAAACATGAAAGTTGTAGCAAATTTTTTCTAGTTTCCAGAACTTCTTCATTCATGTCAATCGGAGCTCTAGATCTTGAGATATGATCAAAACATTGAAGAGTGGTCAAATTTCTCAGCACCATTTTTCATTCTTTTACCAATTCGTCTCCCATACTTGTTAGCTTCCTTTTTCTCGTTTTTCTTGCGGGTTCCGCCTACTTTAGCACTAAGTAGTTGCCTGCACATAATGTGTAACATTTCATCAAAGTAGTTCCATTCTTGGACAATTATATATCAATTCAATAGATTTATGACAATTTAGTACATTCATAAAATAGACTTATCATGCATTAGTAAATAGGTTGCCCTTTTTGTAAACATCTACTTTAAGTACACTTGTCTTTTGGTAACAAGCTTCCACTTCATATCCATAATGTTTGGTAGAATTGGAAGTTTGGTTCTAATTAGGTTAAATGGTATGATAGTGGTTTGTGGGAAGCATTGTAAAGTACATTCCCATTTTTGGGCTGTTAACTGACATTGATATTTGGTAAGATTGTTAAGTTATCAATATATAAATATATGCCTTGATCACTATAATTGTTGTTACCTTCCATATTTTGGTTAGCTTGGTAAGTAGGTTAATACATATGTATGTGTTAAGTGACTTAATTGTAATGGTTGTTACCTTCCATGATTTGTTTATTTTTATACGTATGTATGTGTTAAAGGACTTAATACATTGTTATCATTAAGACATAATAAGTTGTTGTCATTGTCATCTCTTACAAAACCAAAATATTGCCATACATAACACATGCATCTACTTACTGCCTAACTTGACCAAAATACCCTTACACCTAAACTACTACTACCATTCCACCTGAACCTAACTAATGCCCACAACTTAACAGTGCTTTAACCATAACATTGTGAACCATAAACCCCATCACTATCACCACCACCAAAAGCATGACCATCATAAGTAGCTCCATTTTCAACAGGTTTAAAGTATCCAGTTGAACTGCTTTGTTGTTCTTGGCCTCCTCTGAAAGCTTCAAAACCTCCAATCCAAATGCTTTATTGTTGTTAGCCTCCTCCAAATCCATATGGAACTTCCACATAGTTTCCTTGTAGTAAGTGTTTGGCGGGGGTGGATCAAGCCATAAAAAAAATTCGCATTTTTTTAGTCCTACACAACAATCACATGTTCATAATGGTTCAACAAGACCACAAAAAATTACTTAATATTACCTGATAGTTTGGACACCCCCTGAATTTCCTCCATGGATTATCGACAGTTTTGGAGATCGAGAATGTCGCAGGTTCATCACATTCGCATCTCAAATATTCAGACCAACGATTCCTTAAAGCCCACTCTTTGTAACCTTGTGTGTGCGTGTTGGAGGAGCTTACCATCTTTTCGGTTTGACGTTGGAGAGAAGAATCGACCCAAAACTACCTCCAACGTTCGACTAAGCTATGCAACCTGCTGAAACCGGTGAAACCGACTCTTTGCCCTCAAACGATAAGTCAATGAAAATATCATGGTCACATTAAATGAAAAATTAAATTCAGGGCTTTTACCAATTTAGTGCCAAAAACATGGGACTTTAGTGATATTAGTCCATTTTCTGTTGTATATGCATTTGTGTTCTAAAATGGTATAATGTAGTTTTAAATTCCCATAAAACTATGAAAAGTAAGTTTTTCTGTGTATTTGAAATGGTAATCTGTATTTATTCTTGTAATATACTGTATTATAGTCTTATAATTAAATAAAACTACGTGAAGTGTTACTTATTCATACACTAATCATTTTGTTCAATACCAAATTGTGAGTTATTGTAACCATACTAGATGACTTGGGATGGCCTGAACACGACGTTCTTCGGGCATCGTAAAAGTTACAACATTTGTCACCACAGGTCTGCCGACCTAGCTGTTGCAAGCAGCTTTGGTGTGAGATTGTCAGTCCCGTATAGATCTATACACAAGTGTCACGCTCCCACTCAAGGAGATTCTGGTTATAATTTCAGGACTTTTGCTGGTACTTGGAAAAGTGCATGAAGGTAGTCTCACAAATTCTATATTGACGAATAAGCGTAAAAATATTGAAATATTACTTTGTAATAAATACACTGTAAAAAGGTTTCATAAACTGTATAGAATATAATTTATAAGTTTGTTTTCAGTAAAGTAATCTGTTTGTTTTCTATTAGTTATTATCTGTTTGTTTTCCGATATGTACTATGTTTGTTTTCCTGTATGTACTTTGAAACTTGGAAATAATGAATGAGTTCTGTAAACTATACATACTATAGTTTAGCTGTTTGTTTTACTATGAAAATCTGTAATACTGTTATCCATGAAATTCTCTGTTTGTATCTAAGTAGTATCAAATAGTTTGAAAACCATTTTTATAATTATATAAATGTAATATTTATATAATTGTGATTAATTAGATCTTTGATTAAATAACTTTACCCCAAACCCATAACCAGACAAGGAACAGGAAATTGGGTCAAATTATAACAATTTAAAATATACTAAAACATTTATAATATTTTAAGATATTAACACAATTTTATTGTGTTTCACTTGTATTTCCCCCCAAAAAATAGTTAAAAATCATAAAAATGTAAGGGTATGAACTCACTTGATAGGTGGTAATTCGGGCAGCGTTACGCTTCTTAGGAAGGAGTTTTCTTGATGAAACTGAGTGTTTTTGTTGAAAAGTCGGCTTCACTCGGGCAGAGTTTCAGCTTAAAATTGAGAACTTCGGGGCGTCGGGGCTTGCTTCAGGTGGTAAATACATCATCGGGGCTTCGAGGTAGTTTAGAGAGGCTTAAAAGTGAGTAAAAGTAGGAGAGAGGTTGGAAATTAGCAACCAAAACCGGAGTTCTCGCTTCCTATTTATAGGAGGCTGAAGCCTCACCGTACGTTGGGCGTACGCTTGGTATGTTGGGCGTAGTGTACGCGTCCAAACTACCTTCTACATGTCGAAGCTAGTTCATTGCATGGCATGCATGCGACGGAGAGGTGACGGTGGGTGGACGTGGATGGCTCCTGACCTTGTTTCCGAGTACGCTGGGCAGACTCGCATTTCTTCAGCTTCAAAAATTCATAAGTTTCGCATACGAGCTCCGTTTTTGACACTCTTGATATCCACGCGTAGGTGAGACTATGCTCTACAACTTTCATTTAGACTCCGTTGGCTAATTTTGACTTTATTTTTAAAGTTATATTTTTAACAGGCCGGGACAGGAAAAGTCCGTTAAAAATTCATAACTTCTTCACCCGACGTCTGTTTTCGTCTATCTTTTTACCGTTAGATTTCTTTTGATAATATCTTCGATTCTCATTTAAGTTGTTTTGGGCAAAAGTTGCTCGATCTAAATTTCGAGTTTTCGGCTGTGTACTGTCGTGTCAAAACTTAGAAAAATCATAACTTCTTCATACGAAGTCAGATTTAGTCGTTCTTTTTATGGCCACTCTCGGTTTAACGTATACTATAACTTTCATTTAGATGGTTAAGGCTAAAAAACATTTTATTGAAAATTCTCTTTTTACGTTAAACAGTGTTTTGCCGGTTTTGTCGCGGATTTTTGATAGGTCATAACTTCTTCGTTATAACTCGGAATTGGTCGTTCTTTATATTTTTGGAATCCTTGACACAATTTCTACCACTATATTCATCCCAAACAAGTTTGTTTAACTTTTCATTTTTGAGGGTCGATTATGTAAATGCACATAGTATACAAAAATTTCTCTTTATTATTGATATATACTATTACATAAAGTCGAAATAACGGGTTGTTACACATACCTAGCCGAAAACTCCATATCTCGTCGGAAATGTGTGGATAGAAGCGAACATCAACTCCAAACGTCTCGGTGAGTTTGAATCTGTGACGTTACTTCGCCATAAAGCTCGAAATTAGACCTCTCCTTTGAATCCTTACGATCTCACTCATGACTCATCGAAAAAATAGAAGCAGAAAGATATCTAGTGGTTGATTGGAATGAGCGAATGTGTTGGTTAATCGGAAAGAGACAAGGTCGGCGATGGATGACCGAAAACAGGAAAAGCAGCGGCAACGATTAATTAGAAACAGTCAAGGCGGTGGTTGTGGGGAGTGATTTAGGGTTCTTCATTTTTTTAGGAGGGGGGAGGGGTGGGGTGAAGATATGAGGTTAGAAGAGAAGATGTAGGTAAGGTAGGTGAGAGTGGAGATGTGTTGGGGGGTGGGGTGGGATAATGGGGCCGATGATATTTTTAAGAGTAGAATGTTTTTTTCTTTTATAATTTTTTTAATCAGATGATAATAGAAAAATGGTATATATGTCATTTAGGTATGATAAAGACTAAACAAAAGCAAACGATCCGAGATAAAAAAAAAGCTGAGTTAAAGGACTAACTATATATATTATCTGAAATCACATAACCATTTATGTAATTTACCTTATTTAATATAGCAAACCTTTAGTGGCATATATAAATATTATGTCACTAATAATTATGAATATTAGTGACATAAATTGTTAAGTGTCATTAAATCCATTAATTTTTATAATGGCACTTAGAATTTGTCATTAAAAGCATGGTATAGTGGCACATCATACATATGCCATTAAAAATGTATGTCACTAAATTACATTTTATTTGCAGTGATATATATATATATATATATATATATATATATATATATATATATATATATATATATATATATATTGGTTGTTAACTCTATACTTCTTATATTTTGGAACTACTACTACTACATAGTCCATTGTATTTCATCAGGACCAACGACTTACATGATGCTTTGGTCCTCCATTCTTCATGCATAATCCACCTATCAAGATCAAGATAACTCTAGAATTATTGTCGGTAATGGTAGATATCTTGATTTCTCTTGTATTGACTCTTAAAGAAACTTCTCACCTTAAATTTCTTGATGTTTTAGTAATCCTCTCTAATAAATGAAGATTTTTTTGCCACTTGTCACACTCTCATTCAATGTGTCAAATGTCATTTTGTTGTTATTTTGAATTGATTTTTTTCCACATGTCATTTTATGAGTTTTTCTATTTTATTAAATTTCAGATAATATTTTAATGTAATAATTGTAATAAATGTAGTAATAAATGGATATCAATTTCATTAATGAACTTATCTTTTAATTTCAAAATTCCTAAAATTAAAGCTCATTAGTTTCTTTTAATTATTTAAATTATTTGTTTAAATTTAAAAGATAAAAAACATTTCCATTATAATAATCCATTATTTTTCTTGTTTTCTTATAAATTCAAAGTTTTCAAATATTTTGACATTTATATTTAGCTTTTTTTTAAACAAACCCATGTAATACATGTCATTTTATGAGTTTTTCTATTTTATTAAATTCAATTTTAATGTAATAGTTGCAATAAATGTAGTAATAAATTGATATCAATTTCATTAATGAACTTACCTTTAATTTCAAAATTTTCAAAACTAAAGCTCATTAGTTGCTTTTATTTATTTATATTATTTGTTTAAATTTAAAAGATAAAAAACATTTTCATTATAATAATTCATTACTTTTTTATTTTCTTTTAAATTCAAAGTTCTCAAATATTTTGACCTTTATATTTAACTTTTTTTTAAAAAATTGGGTTTTTCTGTTTTAATAAATTTGACATAATACTTGAATGTAATAATTACAATAAATGTAGTAATAAATGAATATAAATTTCATTAATGGACTTACCTTCTTATTTTAAAATAATCAAATTAAAACCCATTAGTTTATTTTGATTATTTATTTGAATTTAAAAGATAAAAAAACAATTTTAAGAATTCATTATTTTTTTTATTTTCTTATAAATCCAAAGTTCTTAAATATTTAGACCTTTATATTTAATTTTTTTAATTAACTCATGTAATGCATGGGTCTTACACCTAGTTTCATATTTAACAAGGAATCTCCTAACTATCAGTCAGCTAGCTCTTCATTATAAAGTTAATGTTATTTCTAATGATGAATCCTTTATTATTATGAATCGAGAAGCGAGAAAACCCTTGGCTGAAGGGCGACCTAAAGATGGCTTCTGAAAGATCAATATGCTCAACAATCATTATAGAATGATATTTGATAATAACATATGATCAAACATGGTAATATTTTATAGCAAATAGACATTTATTGACTATTTATTAGAATTTGATTAAAAATAAATATTAACAACTCTTGTATTTAATTGAAAAATTATAATTTTATGGAAATAATATTTTCCAAGAGA